TATATAAGGATTTTCAAAATAAATTGTTAGCACCATACAACTCACGTTTTAGGTGTTTGTTAATGTCATTAAAATGTATGGAATCTAGTCATTGTTTCTATTTAAAAAATAGTGTGACATTTTTATGCTGTCTGCCATATCAGGTCAAAGAACGGTGCTCTAAATGTAAAGACAGAGGTTACAAATAAATACCAAAATGAGTGGTTAAGGAATGAATGAATGAAAATAAATCGGTCCTGGTTAGTTCATAATTTGCCTGTTCATGAAGTATCTCAGAATTTTCCTCAGCAACTGCAGCATTCATATAGATAAGAAGTGCAGTTCCCACATCATTAAACATTGTTGGTTCCCCAGGCTTTTATACATTCAGACCATCAAATCAATACATAGATAATGTACACTGAAGGGAAACATTCTTTGGATACCTCATGGCTATATTGACTATCTGGGGGACTTGTACCATGTTTAATTAGTACCACATGCCTTGCAGAAAATTCCATATGCTGTTAGTTAAATGAGACAAAAATTAGATTTGTTATTAACCAGCAAAGCTTTTATCATTTTGTGTGTAAATGTGCACTGGGTTACTATTTTCTCATTAATTCACATTCAAAACATGAAAATTATCTGTGCGACAGGGTAAATCGTAACTACTGGGTAGTTTGATAACTCACATTGGAATCTTCTGAAGTAAGAGGCACAAAGTTTGTATGTGCAATGTATGACAAATCCATAACTGTACTGTTGTCTCCACATTTTCACATATTACCCATTTTTTAAATGGGTAGTGTAACTCTAATGCTTAAAAATGGGTGTAGGCTTATGGTAAACAGGAGCTGTGTGCTAATCGTCATGGTCTGCTCTGATGGAATTACTTTCAGCCATAAAAATACCGGCACTTTATGTATATTTTTTTCTCCTTGTGGATTTCACAATGCATTTTTATATATTATTTTAATGGGTAAATTTTCACAAAAACAACAAAAAAATTTGTAGCAAGTTAGACACTGACCGTAGCCATAGTAGGGGACATAAAGTGATGATGAACTGATATTTTACTAAATGCTACTGCTGAACATTTTAAAAAATTATGGATTAATGAGGAATAAAAAGAAGTTTGTTGTGATGGAAGTCATTGAAGAGCTCAGTATTTTCCCCATAAAGGGACTGATTACTATAGAGAGTGATTGTAAGTGTTCATGTTATCAGAAACACAAATACATATAATGAAAAAAGTGTAAATCTGTGTAACGTAACAGTAGTTAAATGTTTCAATGAAATCTGTTTCCAATGATAAATGTCCACTGATGAGTTTAATTGGGTAATGGCATAGATGTTTTGGGTTTTGTTACATTTAATTGAGAACACAGTCAACAGTCAAGAGGCAAATACATGTCTGTCTTTAGGTAACTCATGGTTGGGTTTTATAATAAATGTTGATGAGCTTAAAATGGGGTTTCTCAGCAGTTCAAAACTAAATAAACTGAAAATTCTGTAGCATAATTTTATATCCCTATATACAGTATATCCAAAAGCACTAACGAGCCATAAAACCATGGCAGTGGTATAGAACAGAACTGAGTAAATCTAGTATTAAAAAACAGATATAAAGAGAGTATCTGAGAGATAGGAAGGGAAAAGAACTTCATCTAAAAGAAGCACTGCAAGACAGGCAAATAATATTTCAGTGAAAAGCATATGAAATTATTAATATTATAGCAAAGTATCTAAAGAGTGTAATCCTAACCACAATTATGTCTTTAACGTTTTAATACTTTCATGTCTTGGGAGGGAATGACAGTGATGTACATCTGATGAGGAAAATACACACCTTTTGTGAAGCTATTCAAACACATCATCAAGTAAAGGCTTCAGTTCTGCAAACATTTCTGCATGACACTGTTTATGGGAACATTCTCACAGAAATAATTGAGGCTACTCCTATATGCTGAAAGTTAAGTATGTGCTTACGGATGAACTGAATTGCTGTGTTGCATGCTTTTATTGCATCCTTTTATTCTGTACTCTGTAGTATTCCTTTCACCATACATGCAGGGCAGCTGTGAGTTTAGCAGATCTCTGCAAGTAGACACAGAGTTTACAAAATGACTTTTTTGTGGCTAACCCAGACTGTGAAGTAAAGCCTTGAATGCAGCTAACATTGTGGAAACTGCAATGTATGTGGCCTTCCCCTAGAAGACTTCGGGGCTCTTTGGAAGAATGTTTCTCTTTTTTTTTTTTCTTTCTGTTCTAACCAGAATTTATTTACTGCTAGTTTAAAATAGAAGCAAGATACCTATGCTTCATGGCTTTTTGGTGTACTCTTTGCCCACCTGTTTGAAAGGTATCCAGCATAGCCTGTAAGAAAAAAAGAAAGGGGTTGCTTGCTTCCTTCTTACTCCTTTAAATAGACATAAAGTCAAGTTTACTATCTACTTGTTTTTGTTGTTTTTTTTTTTTTAAAAAAAGAACATTAACATTACAGCAAGACTTTTTAGTTTCTTTTTTTGGTTGACGAATTTATCTTCATTATAGAAAAATTTGTGCAAGGTTTCTTGTTTGGTTGGGGTTTTTTTCTAATCAGATTTAAATTCTGCTTCTATCAGTCAAGTTGCAGTAGTGTTAATGGTTAATGACTGATAGTTTGACATGGCCCGAGTAAAAACAGTAGGATTTTGTGCCTGTGATTCTAATAATAAGGAACACAATTCCAAAGTATCCTGTTTGTAATGAAGTTTACATGTTTAAGAAGTGGGTTGTGTGTTTCAGCCTTATGCTGATAATAGGAGTGAATACTGATCCTTTAGTTCAGAGTCTGCTATCCACAACCCAGGTACCCAAACAGTGTTAGCCAGAGCTCAAAGACTTAGAAACTGGCTTATCACTGTGAATTTTAGAGTGCATGCATGCAGGCTAAGGCAGAGAGAAGTAAGTGACAAAGACAGCATTGGTTTTACCAATTAATCCCTTCTAGTATGCCATATTCCTGTGCAATCAGTTAGTATCCTTTGCATTTTCTTTCACGATTATTTGGGCTATGAAAGAATGATACCGATATCTGTTGCTCTGTTGAAAACCTGGTTTTTGAGCTCCGTGGATCTGAAACACTGTGGGTCTATTGTAGAGCCTACTGATATGAAAAGAGCATTTCTCCCAGATATTAAATCAGATCCTATGAGCAGAAATCGTACAGTAGACTCTTTAATTATAATATTATTCTAATTACATGAATCAAGTACTATTACTGTACATTTGTACACCTTTCATGGAAAGCAAAGCATGT